TGGGTACAAATATGAAACCCTAGTTGGGGTTGTACCCCATATTGGCTACCCCACTACAGCCTACCAACATAGAACCCATTATAATTTAACACCCTGCGCACCAGAATGTCAGCAAGGACAAATACGGGGCCTGGTGCAGCATCACCGCATCATTCTGCAGTAGACCGTCCTGCGGGTGACAGACTTGCCGACGAACCAGGGCCTAACTACCTCTCCTTCTATGCTCCTAGGACTACTCTCCGATGCATCCCTGTAACACATGTTTTCCTTCTAATGAAACACGCCGCATTCCAACTCTCCCCCAGGATTCGCACTACCCCGTTTACCCCGTGGATGCACATGCTGGCGCATGTGGGGGTCCTAATCGATGAACAATGTTAGTCCCCCTCACTATTAGGTGCATCAATGTGAATGGGATCAATAAGCAAAAGAAACTCAATGACCTTCGTGGATGGCACGCCAAACGCGGCCCAAAAGCAGACATCCTTGTTCTCATAGACACTAGGTTAACCCTTAACTTCCAAAAACTCATTATGACCCTCAAACCAGCCTCATATGCACATTGTCCTTCCCCATTCATCAATCGATCCAAACCCGGGGGTATAGCGGTCCTCTTTTTCCATAATCAAATCACCATCTCCTCCCAAGAGTGCTCCCCAGACGGACGGATACTCTCCCTGCACTTTATTTACCTAGGCGAGCAACTTCGGCTCATCGCCCTATATGCCCCCTCCACCCCTGCCCTCCGGCGTCCTTGGTGGAGATCCTAGTTCCTAGCTGCACTTAATAATCCCTCCTCCGTGGCCGGCACAATCGTGGCCGGCGATTTCAACGCGGTGTGCTCGGCCGAGGACAGGAATAGACCCCCCTTGGCTCATGAAACCTCGGAAGGCGCTATTTTAACCTCTATTCTTCAGCAGTACTCACTGGTCGATTCCTTCCGTCATGTCTACCCGAACGAACCCATGTTTTCCTTGTTCGCCCTGCCACGCGCCCTGCAAGGAGACTCCCCCCCTACAGCTTCACGTCTCCGAGGCACTTAAAAGCAGGATTATAGATGCGCAATACGCTTCCGCCTCTAAGGAGCTCACTGATCACGACTTATCCCCTTCTTGCATCCTCCAATGCGAGTCCCCCAATCTTGCCCCCAGGCCCTGGCGGCTCCCTCACTCTCTTCTACGCCGCCCGCACACAGCTCACCTCGTCTCCAAGGCTTGCCAAGCTCTTCCACCCGTTTTGAATGGTGAAAGCTGGGATGCCTGGAAACTCGCTCTGTGCAATCAGCTCAAAGCCTTCGGACGCCAGGAAAAGATTCGGATAAAAAAAACATCCGAACATCTCCAAAACCTGGTCAGCCATATTCGGATTGCCCGTGCAGTCAACCCCACGGACGAGGGCCTCGGTGAGCAGCTGCGCGCCGCATCCCAACAGTTTGACAAGTACGAGGCTTTTCGCGCCGCAGATATAGCCCTCAAAGCGAAGCTGAAAGTCGAAGGCCTCCGCGAAATGGGAGTCTCCTCATTGCTGGTCGGGATTAACTCTCGTATCAAAGCCTCGCTGGTCACGTCCCTTCAATCCCCCTCAGGTGAGCTCGTCTCGGACCTCCCCACGATGAGCACCTTATGCACCACCTTCTTCCAAGACCTATACAGTGCCTCGCACCTCGTTCGATACGACGAGAATTTCTGGTCGCATGTCCCCCCCTCCCAGCTCCCCCCTCCCCCCTCACACTTCCTCCCGACTCGCGCTACCCTTCTCTATGGAGGAAATCGCCTCTGCTATCAGCAAGCTCCCGCGCTGTAAAACTCCAGGGCCGGACGGCCTGACAGGGGAACTCTTCCGCTCCTTCAAGACCAGCTTCACCCCAGCCATCCACTCCCTGTTCCTTGCCTCCTCCTCCGCCCTCCCCCCCACGATGCTGCAGGGTCGCACGGTGCTTATCCCAAAAAAAGGGGATTCCACCGTACTTGATAACCTCCGCCCGATCACCTTAATGAATTCCGACTATAAAATCCTTGCCATTTGCCTCGCCTCCTGCCTCCAACCCTTACTCCCTTCCCTCATTCACCACTCTCAAGCTGCGTTTATCAAATCCAGGAAAATCGTTGATACGCTTAATGATACTCTCGATATCTTCAACTGGGCCACCACACAAAATTCCCTTTGCTTGCCCTGACAGTTGACATTCGCAAAGCATATGATTTAGTCGATCGAGAATTCATGCTCACCTGCCTCGCAACCCTCGGTCTGCCTCCCCCGTTCCTCCATTGGGTTCGGCTTATGCATACCAATACGACCACAAAAATATCCGTCAACAACTTCTGTGGGCCGGCCATCCCTGTCCGCTCAGGTGTACGGCAAGGGTGTCCCCTCGCCCCCCTTCTCTTTCTTTGCGTTATCGAAGTTTTCCATCGCTATGCTTCTCACTTCCTTCCCAGCTTCCCCATCTCCTGCACCCAACGACGGCTAATGTCGTGCTATGCAGACGACGTGACAATATTCCTTAACTCTGACAAAAAGCTCCAGAAGGCCTCTCACGTTCTCCTTTCCTTTGCCGCGGTGTCAGGCGAATACCCGAACCGGGCCAAATGTGCCCTCATTCCATTCAACATTCCCCCCTCGGCAATCACATATGCCGGCGCCATTCCCATCCGCGGCGAGTCTGAATTCGAGCGGATCCTGGGCATCTACGTCGGTCAATCCGGCCGCTCCGACGTCACTTGGGAAAGAACCCAGACACAAATCAAAAAGACCGCTAACTTCCTTGCCAATTTACACGCTTCCTCCTCGTGCCGGAAAAACCTGTCAAATATCTTTCTGAACTCTGCCTTGACCTTCCCTGGCAGATTTCAACCCCCCCCCCCCACCCCCTCCATTCAAGCCATCGACGCAGTCGTTGGGAACTTACTCTCGTCGTCCAAATACCAAGCGGAAGGTCGTACTCACCGGCTCCTCGCTCATAACACCATATACAACAGAGTCGAGCACGGCGGGCTCGGGGCAATCCGTCCCACCACGCAAATACTTGCGCTGAACGCTCAGCGTGCACTGCGTCGCTTCTCCCACCTTCCCAACGCAGCCGTCGCAAGGGAGCTCGTACCCATCCCCTTCGGCCTCCACGGCTTCCTGCTTCACAAAGACTTCCTCGCGGCTCTCCCTGACGCCGTCCCGACCCGCCTACGACAAGAAGTCCGGAGTCTCACCTCGCTCTCCCTTAACGTGCTGCCCCCCCGCCCCGAGTTCTGGTGCATCCTGGCCGAACTTGTCCCGTTCAACCCCCTCCTCTGCAAGGAGGACGGGCGACCCTTCGGACGGCTCAAAGACGAGGCCTTCCTCTTAACGGAAGAAGTCCGTATTGGCCATCTTGTGCGCCGCGACGCCACAGGTGCCCGCCGGATGACTAAGGAGGAAATCCTGCTCAAATACCCCCCCCGCAACTACCCTTGCAGCCGCCGTATCCTCCACGAAATTTATGAGGCGATGCCGGACGAATGGTTGGCGGCCCTATCCTCCTCCCACAGCCGCGTGCCCCTGTCCTCTGGCGACTGGGTGATAATGGCGGCAGATATGCACTCCCTTCCTCGCCTCGCTTATGAAGTCGCCTCCATTATCTCAACTGATTCCTTCCAGGCCAGCGCCTACCCCATCGACCCAGTAGGTAGAATCTCGAAGGCGGCTGAGGCTCGTTGCCTCCTCCGCATTCGAGATACGGTGCAGGTGCTCGTGACAGATCGGTGGCTCTGCGGTACCTTTTGCTCAGGAGCGGGACTAGCAGCGCGATTGGAGATTCTACACGAGGGCGCCCCTTCACTAGCGACGATCAGGAGCCTGGCTTACACGCAACAGCCGCTTCCGCATGCGCAACGATGGATTAACATCCTTCCTGACCCAGGTCCCAGCCTCGTTCCTGACTACACGCACGACTTCCTAGCAGAACAACCCTCTTCGCAGCGTGACGTGCTATTTCGGCTTTACGCTCGTGCGCTGCCCTCTGGTTCACGATTCCTTTACACTGCCGATAAGGGCATATGCGGGGGGTGCAACAGAGGAGTCATTGAAGACCTGCCTCACCTCTTTTTCGAATGCGGTGTTGCCCAACCCATCACCGCGGCGCTTCAACGGACCGCCCGCCTTCACGTGGGAATTTCCACTCCAGCGGCGTTGACCCTCTTCCCTATGACCTCAGCTGCGGGCCGGGTCGCTCCCTGAAGCCTATTGGTCGGTGTGGCAGCGAAAGTCATCTGGAACTCTCGCTGGAGCCACAAATACAGACAAACCCCACACAACTCACTTGAAGCACTGCAAACCGTTCTACACCTCTTCCTACTCGCCTTCAAAATCCTGCTCTAGCGTGCATCCAACGGTTCAAAAAAGAAGAGAGCTCGAGCAGCTCACCGAGTCAAACTAGCCACCCAACACCGGCTTTTCATCTTCCCGGAACCCAACTGTCCAGCACTACACCCCGACTTCAAGGCCACATGGCTGCTCACCGATCCTTTCCGCCCACCTTAACCAACTACTTCGCTACATGTCAGCTAGATTTGCATCCTTTCTCGGGTGCCTCCACCCTTCGTGGTGGGAGGATGACGTGTCTCCACGTGCTCCCCTGGCGGGAGCCAACTCTAGCTTGTTTCCTTCTCTAGCTGCTTGCATGTTTGTAAACAGGTTACGACCTCAATAAAACCTTAAACCTTAAACCTTGGTTACCCCACCTTGGCTTGTGCGACTTTCGACAAGCCCAGAAAGAGTCCCGCAGCATGCCTTCGAAAACACCAGTCATTTTGGCATTCTACTTGCTTCAAATTCGGGTTTCGGGATCCCATGCCATAGCTGCACGCACGAAATATTCCGCGGGACATCTCCGCTGCTCTGCGCGCCGTCCGTAGTGACAACCCTCGCGCCTCCGCGCCTCTTCATCTCCCCCTCCCCCGCGCTACCATCCCACCGCCTCGGCTTACAGCGCTTGATACCGGTCTCCTTGCGCTCCGTTCCGCAGTGCGGGGAACCACGCACAACTACGCGCGCCGAAGCGCCCTATTCTGTCCGCCGTATGCCGTACCGAGCGGGTCTACTATCTTCTGTTTCCCCGCAACATCTTGTAACCTAATAAAAAACTCCCCTGCGCGAATTCCAATTCCCTAAAAGAAAATGTTACTTTGATTGCGCAAATTGTTCTCACATAGGTGAAGAGACACAGCGGGAGAGCCGGAGTATAAACCTCCGCCATCCGCCTCTCCGCGCGCCTCGACGCGTCGCCCCCACACGCCTGCTTATCATTCGCATCTCCGCCTCCCACTTCTCCGCCACGCGCCACTCCAGCCGCCGTACGCCTCATCATCGTCCGCCTTGTGGGGGTAAATTAGAGAGCGGGGGGTTAGAGCGGAAAGGGGTGAGGAGGGAGGGTGCGCGAAAGGCAAGGGTGGGTGAAGATGAGGGGAGAGGTGGGAGAGGGGGTAGGGGGATGGGTTGGCTCTGAGTGCAAGGTGGAAAGCAGGAAGCGGCAAGCAGGAGCAGTAGAGTAGAGGTTTAAAGAGAGACTGGAAGTGCCCTCCAACTTTGCTGTTACATCCCTCACCTCTCCCCCCCTTCAACTTTTCATCCCTCACTCACGCGCTTCCCCCGTCTCACTCCTCTTACTCCTTACTTTGCCACATCGGCTCCCCTCAATTTCCCTTCCTTTCATGGACCTTCTTGTCCTTCCCCTCCCCACACCACACCCTCTACCCCTCTCCCCACCATCTTCTCGCCCTACCGTTTCCTCTCTTTGCCGTGCGTGCAGGTGGGAGTGAAAATATCAGCAGTATCGCGCACACAAGACCAACACGCCTGCTGCTGCCCCTCGCACAGGAGCTAGGTGAGGAATTCAAGGAGATGCTAGGTGCAGGGGGGAAACTGCAGGGTGCAGGGAGGAAACTGCAGGGTGCAGGGGGAAAATGCAGGGTGCAGGGGGGAAACTGCAGGGTGCTGGGGGGAAACTGCAGGGTGCAGGGGGGAAACTGCAGGGTGCAGGGGGGAAACTGCAGGGTGCAGGGGGGAAACTGCAGGGTGCAGGGAGGAAAATGCAGGGTGCAGGGGGGAAACTGCAGGGTGCAGGGGGGAAACTGCAGGGTGCAGGGGGGAAACTGCAGGGTGCAGGGGGGAAACTGCAGGGTGCAGGGGGGAAACTGCAGGGTGCAGGGGGGAAACTGCAGGGTGCAGGGGGGAAACTGCAGGGTGCATGGGGGAAACTGCATGGTGCAGGGGGGAAACTGAGGAGAGTGGGGGGGGAAATGAAAAGAGCAGGGGGTAACTGAAGGGAGCAGGGGGAAACTGCAGGGAGCAAGGGTTGAAACTGCAGGGGAAACTGCAGGGGAGGGAGGGAAGGGAGGGAAGGGAGGGAAGGGAGAGAAGGGAGGGAAGGGAGAGAAGGGAGGGAAGGGAGGGAAGGGAGAGAAGGGAGGGAAGGGAGGGAAGGGAGAGAGAAGGGAGAAAAGGGAGAGAAGGGAGGGAAGGGAGGGAAGGGAGAGAAGGGAGGGAAGGGAGGGTAAGGGAGGGAAGGGAGAGAAGGGAGGGAAGGGAGGGTAAGGGAGGGAAGAATGGGACACGGGAAGGGGAGAATGGGCGGCGGGAAGGGGAATAGGGCGACGGGAAATGAGTACTGGGCGGCAGGAAAGGGGAATCGTGCGTTAGGAAAGGGGAATCAGGGGCGGGAAAGGGGGGAATCGGGCGGCGGGAAAGGGGAATTGGGCGGCGGGAAAGGGAAATCGGGCGGCGGGAAAGGGGAATCGGGCGGTGGGAAAGGGGAATCGGGCGGCGGGAAGGGGTAGCGACAACTGCGATTGCGCGAGTGCGGCCCGCTATTCTGCACTTTGAGGCACCGCGCGTCGTATTCACAGTGGCGTGAGGACGCAGCGTGAGGCGGCGAAGCCACGCCGCCTTGGGCGACGAGGGGAGGCAGATCGGCACGACAAAATCGCCTAATTCCGGCGGGAAAGGGGATTTCGAGCAAGGGCATGTATACGGCGCCTTTTTTTCCCGTCGCACACCACTCCCGTTTCCCCGCTTTTTTTTCTAGTGTCGCTCCCACTGTTCTGTCAACATCCCGTGTCCTGTTATATATGCGAGCGCCATGTCCTACCGTTGTCCTTCATTTCAGGCTTATCGCGTGAGACATTCCTACCGTTATCACATTGCTCTCTTACGCCCCATAACGCGCAGGGCGCGTTTACCTTGCGCTTGTATCGAATTCGATGGCGTCGTCGTAATCCTCTGACAGTTCCTCTATGTGTGGTACCAAGTAGTTGGTGAAGGCCGATCTAGGCGTCGTACTTATGACTCACAGTCGAGTGACTACCCCGCATAGCAAAGTGATGACAGTTTGACAGGTGGGTTGGCAATTTGGCAATAGCGTTGCCGTGGTGTCCCGCGAGGGCTGCCCCACATCAGTTTTGTTGCGACGCCATTTGTATTCGTGGGTGGGTTTCACGAACCAGAGCCTTCGCGAAAGTTCTGAACCTTTCGTCCCCTCTACCTCCGAACCTACGCTGTCTCGAGTTGACTAGCGTTGAGTAATTCGGGTTGGCCTTTACGCACCACCAGGTGCGTGGAAGGGATTGGCTTACAGAGGTAAGGTGATGATGGGATCGGATATCCCTGACATGGATGGGGTCACAATGGCTGCTGATCTCTCTGCTCTCAGGCACCACCGGGTGAGTGGAGGACTGGAGGTTTACGATCATGCAGGGCTGGATGCGGGATGTGATGCAGATGGAGGGAATGAGTGTGAGAGACAGGAAAGCAGATGCTTGTGTTTGAAGACCAGGATCGCTTTTAAGATGAAAATTCATCTCAAACAAAGAAAGGCACAAATAAAGAAAGAAAAGAACTCAGTTCATCCCGGGAAAAGCACTGGGCTGATTGGAATGACAACTTGTTCGTTGCAACCTCGTTGGCTTTTCTGGCAGGTGGTGTTTGGCCCGGCCCTGGATGGCGGATACTACCTCCTTGGGCTCACTGCAGTGCTGCCATGCCTCTTCCATGTATGTATTTGAGAGGCATGCCACCACACGTAGTGTACTCATCTCATCCCATGTGTGGTTTCACTTACGTGCATGTGTCTGGATGGCAGATGCTACCTCCTTGGGCTCACTACAGTGCTGCCATGCCCCTTCCATGTATGTGGGGCATGGCACCATGTATGAGGGGTATGTCGCCATGTGTAATGTGCTCATTCTATGGATGCATGTGGATGTCAGTATCCGATCTCTCTTCTGCATCCCTCTCAATTGCATGCTCTCGTTCTTCCTGTCTCTCCCAGCAACTCTTTCCCCAGTTATCCTCCCTCCCCCCTTCTTTCTCTCACACCACCGCACCCACTTCTTCAACACTCACCCCACGGGCAGGGTGTTGCAGCAGTCGCTCTCTGCTCTCCAGACCAACACAGTATCTGCCAGCCATGGTGCCACTGGCCTGCCTCCTATCTCCCTTCCCTCCTCTCCCCCATGACCCAACCCCATCAGGGCATAGAGTGGAGCACGCACAGGGTGTTGCAGCAGTCACTCAGCACTCCATACCAACACAGCGCCTGCCAGCAACACTGGCCTGCCTGCTATCTCCCTTCTCTCTCCCTTCCCTCCTCTCTCCCTTCCCCCAACCCCATCAGGGCATAGAGTGGAGCACAGACAGGTTGCTGCAGCACCCTGGTTAAGTGTGCTCCCATGCCAGACGTGCTCCATGCAGTTTACTCCCACGCAGTTCCTGCCAGCCAAAGTGTTACTGGCCTGCCTGCAACCTCCCCATCTCTCCCTTCCCCCGGGCCCCATCAGGGCATAGAGTGGAGCACAGACAGGGTGCTGCAGCAGTCACTCTCTGCTCTCCACACCAACGGAGTGGCTGATGTGGAGCCACTGGATTCGCTGCCATACCTGAGGGACATCGACACTGTTCAAGACCTGACAGCCTGGCTTGCAGAGCAACAAGCGGCGTGCGGCAAGGGTGGTATCTTGGAGGCAGATGCTAAGGCACATGCTAAGGCAGGCACTGCACTGACAAATTGTGGCAAGGCAGCGCATGTGAAGGATGGTTCGAGTGCAATGCAACCTTCTGAGTCGACTGGAAAGGTAGTCGCTGCACCAAGTGGTGGCAGGAAGACATGGCATGAGGAGCATGCATTGAGAACAGAGCATGTTGATGCATGCCGCACACCACATACTGGTGTGCGCCCGACATCCCATGGTCCTGGTGGTGTGCCTATAGCAAAGGTTGGTGGAATGGAAGGTGGAACACAAGCCATGAGGCTGATTACTCTAGTTGCCACAATTCTTGGTCAGGTTAGCCTAGTAAGTGCACTGTAGTGCTGTATAAAGCCCTTAAGTCCGTATTCGTGTGTCATTTAGGTAATGTAATCACCCAGAAACCATAGTAGACAGACAGTGTTGAATTGACGACACGGTGTCTTCAATTGGAGGATACCAGATATTGATTACCGTATGTTGTCCCTGCGTGCTCCAAATCATGCGCATGGTGACTCATACCACTGTTATTCCCTTGTTGAGTGTTGTGTTGCATCAGCAGCAGGCTCTCATCATGATGAGGTCTGCCAACTGTCAAAGTGTATTTGTTCTTGTTACTGTTACACTTGGTAGGCTAGGTTAGGGCTGTTTTTTTTGTACTCATGCATGCCATGCAATTCAGTTCACACAGCCCGCCACCCTACGTTTAGCCCGCAAGCCCTAGCGCCACCCGACGTCCTTCTCCAGCCAGCAGCCTGCTATAGCGCAGCCCACAGCCTGCAAGCATGCCGTAGCTCGCCAGCTTGCACGCTGCCACGCTAGCGCACGGCCCGCAGCACACCCTCCAGCCGTCGCCCGCCAGCACACCAGTGAGTTGTTTGTCAGCGCGCCACCATCCGTAATATATATCCTAAATTCTGTGACCGTTTGTGATAGCCTAGTGACCATTTGAGATATAAGGCCCATGTTTACGACCATTAATTTGCCCTTGTTTTTATCTCACCGTTACTTCATGTGAAGCTGTCCCCTTTGTTCTTTTGAACTGTTTCTGCAGCTCGTATTACACTACTAGTTTTTGTTTTTAGCACAGTTGGATCAGGAAGGTTGATACTGTTAGAACGCCTCACAATTGAAACACCGGAGGAGAGTCGTGATCACACACCGAAACTGTAAACATCGATCTCCTCCGAACCACATGTGTAAGGAATTTTGCTAATTCCTTACTGAGGCAGCTCTTACGCGTACAATTCCAACTTTCGGAATTCAGGCTCGGTCCGACGACCTCGCCTTCCGAACGTCCGTCGCGTCGCCTTCGGGGTTTCCATACCCAAACCTGCACCCAACCACCATGCGACTCCGTGACCTCGGCCTAGCTAGTCTCGCTAGGTCTCGTTGTTTGCTCAGTAGTTGTAATCACTTCCGCGTTATTGAATTCTGCGCACTCTTCTTTCGTACAACTCATAACACCTGGTACCAGAGCTACTTTCCTAGGTTACCCACCACTTTCCGGGGTAGTTTTAGTGCAGGGGTGCGATAGACTTGGTGGGCTGCAAAGCGGTCGGCTGAGAGATAGATACGATTATCTCGCTCCGACTAATAGCGTTTGCGCCTTCATCAAAGTCATAAAAATCGCTGTTAACCCGCTGCCCGTTAGGAGAAGCCTGCGAAACATGGATCAAGCGGAATTTAACGAGTTCATGCAACAGTTCCGGGAGATGCAGGCCAACTTGCAGACCATGTCTGCAGAAATGGAACGCCTGAGGGAGGAAAACGCCGAGCTACGCCAGACGCGAGGTGAAGCGCGTCAGGAGTCGCCCGTCGTGGATGAAGCAAGTAGCAGCAACGCCCCTAACGACGAGGTCCTCAGCGAGCTACAGAACTCGCTGGACGCTGAAGATGAGTGGGCGGCACGAATGCAACAGGCACAAGGGACGCAAGAGCAACAGCCACAAGTGGCGCCGAGGCAACAGTCGCAGACTACGCCACGACAGGCAACAGCGACAACCCCGGTGATGGCTTCAGTGGCGCCCCCGATGCATGCAGCAGCAACAGTCTCGACAACTATTAAGATCAAGCCGACGAACCCGCCCCCGTTCAACCCCAGCGACAAAACCGTCACAGTGTCGGCATGGTTGTTCGGTGTGGAGGTATTTTTCAATGCTGCGCAAATTGCCACGATGCTACCCGCATTAATTTTGCAGTGTCACTATTACGAGGACCGGCGTTGGAGTGGTGGAGGCGGACTCTTCAGACAGAGGGGACTCCGGCAGGACAATCACGTGCGAACGACGGGACCTGGACAACTGTCACGCAACAGGCAACTTCAATCTTCGGAGTGGCCACGATACGCACATGGACGGAGTGGGGCGCCGCGCTGCGAAACAGATTCGAGCATGTATCCGCCTCGGATTCTGCTCGCATGAAGCTGCGTACCTGGAAGCAGGTGGCGTCGGTCCAAGATTACACGGCAACATTCTGCAATTTGGCTGACCAGGTGGACGACATGAGCGATGCGGAGCGACTCGACCGTTACGTCGCAGGCCTCAAGTACGAAGTACAGTACGAGGTGCGACGGGCGAGGCCACGCGATTTCCTCGATGCCGTCCAGGTGGCTGAATCAACGGATGCG